AATGTTCTGGAACAATTTGGAGAAGGTGCAGTTAGAAATAACATGTAACTGTTCTAGAAAAGAGAAATTTTGTGTTTATAGCTGTTTTTGAAGGATTCAAGATCCGTGAAATCATTCCCAGAACAGTTTTAAATTCACTCTCAGTGCGCGTAGTTTACTCTAGAACCATTATAGAACAATCCAGAATAAATTCTAACGAGTTTTGTGCTCAAAACTGTTCTTAAATGATTGAAGAACCATCAAAAGTGTGTTCTAGAGTTGGAAAAATAATGGAAAAATTCCAGAACAATTAGAAAAAATGTGATTGTTCTAGAACAAATTGTATTTTCTGAGCTGTTCTTTTTTCAGATTTGTGAAACAAAATGCTAATGTTCTGGAACAATTTGGAGAAGGTGCAGTTAGAAATAACATGTAACTGTTCTAGAAAAGAGAAATTTTGTGTTCATAGCTGTTTTTGAAGGATTCAAGATCCGTGAAATCATTCCCAGAACAGTTTTAAATTCACTCTCAGTGCGCGTAGTTTACTCTAGAACCATTATAGAACAATCCAGAATAAATTCTAACGAGTTTTGTGCTCAAAACTGTTCTTAAATGATTTAAGAACCATCGAAAGTGTGTTCTAGAGTTGGGAAAGAAATGGAAAAGTTCCAGAACAAATTAGAAAATGAAGATTTATGAGAAAAAATGTGATTGTTCTAGAACAAATTGTATGTTCAGAGCTGTTCTTTTTTCGGATTTGTGAAACAAAATGCTAATGTTCTGGAACAATTTGGAGAAGGTGCAGTTAGAAATAACATGTAACTGTTCTAGAAAAGAGAAATTTTGTGTTCATAGCTGTTTTTGAAGGATTCAAGATCCGTGAAATCATTCCCAGAACAGTTTTAAATTCACTCTCAGTGCGCGTAGTTTACTTTAGAACCATTATAGAACAATCCAGAATAAATTCTAACGAGTTTTGTGCTCAAAACTGTTCTTAAATGATTGAAGAACCATCAAAAGTGTGTTCTAGAGTTGGAAAAATAATGGAAAAATTCCAGAACAATTAGAAAAAATGTGATTGTTCTAGAACAAATTGTATTTTCTGAGCTGTTCTTTTTTCAGATTTGTGAAACAAAATGCTAATGTTCTGGAACAATTTGGAGAAGGTGCAGTTAGAAATAACATGTAACTGTTCTAGGAAAGATACATTTTGTGTTCATAGCTGTTTTTGAAGGATTCAAGATCCGTGAAATCATTCCCAGAACAGTTTTAAATTCACTCTCAGTGCGCGTAGTTTACTCTAGAACCATTATAGAACAATCCAGAATAAATTCTAACGAGTTTTGTGCTCAAAACTGTTCTTAAATGATTGAAGAACCATCAAAAGTGTGTTCTACAGTTGGAAAAATAATGGAAAAATTCCAGAACAATTAGAAAAAATGTGATTGTTCTAGAACAAATTGTATGTTCAGAGCTGTTCTTTTTTCAGATTTGTGAAACAAAATGCAAATGTTCTAGAACAATTTGGAGGGGGTGCAGTTAGAAATACCATGTAACTGTTCTAGGAAAGATAAATTTTGTGTTCATAGCTGTTTTTGAAGGATTCAAGATCCGTGAAATCATTCCCAGAACAGTTTTAAATTCACTCTCAGTGTGCGTAGTTTACTCTAGAACCATTATAGAACAATCCAGAATAAATTCTAACGAGTTTTGTGCTCAAAACTGTTCTTAAATAATTGAAGAACCATCAAAAGTGTGTTCTATAGTTGGAAAAATAATGGAAAAATTCCAGAACAATTAAAAAAAATGTGATTGTTCTAGAACAAATTGTATATTCAGAGCTGTTCTTTTTTCAGATTTTTGTGAAACAAAATGCAAATGTTCTAGAACAATTTGGAGGGGGTGCAGTTAGAAATAACATGTAACTGTTCTTGAAAAAAGAAATTTTGTGTTGATAGCTGTTTTTGAAGGATTCAAGATCCGTGAAATCATTCCCAGAACAGTTTTAAATTCACTCTCAGTGCGCGTAGTTTACTCTAGAACCATTATAGAACAATCCAGAATAAATTCTAACGACTTTGGTGCTCAAAACTGTTCTTAAATGATTTAAGAACCATCGAAAGTGTGTTCTAGACTTGGGAAAGAAATGGAAATGTTCCAGAACAAATTAGAAAATGAAGATTTATGAGAAAAAATGTGATTGTTCTAGAACAAATTGTATGTTCAGAGCTGTTCTTTTTTCGGATTTGTGAAACAAAATGCTAATGTTCTGGAACAATTTGGAGAAGGTGCAGTTAGAAATAACATGTAACTGTTCTAGAAAAGAGAAATTTTGTGTTCAGAGCTGTTTTTGAAGGATTCAAGATGCGTGAAATCATTCCCAGAACAGTTTTAAATTCACTCTCAGTGCGCGTAGTTTACTCTAGAACCATTATAGAACAATCCAGAATAAATTCTAACGAGTTTTGTGCTCAAAACTGTTCTTAAATGATTGAAGAACCATCAAAAGTGTGTTCTACAGTTGGAAAAATAATGGAAAAATTCCAGAACAATTAGAAAAAATGTGATTGTTCTAGAACAAATTGTATATTCAGAGCTGTTCTTTTTTCAGATTTGTGAAACAAAATGCAAATGTTCTAGAACAATTTGGAGGGGGTGCAGTTAGAAATACCATGTAACTGTTCTAGGAAAGAGAAATTTTGTGTTCAGAGCTGTTTTTGAACAATTCAAGAACCGTCATATCATTCCCATAACAGTTTTAAATTCATAGTGCGCGTAGTTAACTCTACGACTATTATAGAATAGTCCAGAATAACTTCTAACAAGTATCGTGTTTAAAACTGATGCTAAATGATTCAAAAACCATCAAAAGTGTGTTCTAGAGTTGGAAAAGTTCCAGAACAATTAGAAAATGAAGATTTTTGAGACAAAATGTGACTGTTTTAGAACAAATTGTATGTTCAGAGCTGTTATTTTTTCGGATTTGTGAAACAAAATGCTAATGTTCTGGAACAATTTGGGAGAGGTGCTATTAAAAATAATATGTAACTGTTATAGAAAAGAGAAATTTTGTGTTCAGAGCTGTTCTAGGACGATTCAAGAGTTGTCAAATAATTCACAGAACATTTCAGTGCGCAAATGGCTCAGTGCAGTTTACTCTAGAATTATTCTAGAACAATAAAAAAAAAATCCATCCTGAAATAAGTTATTCGCTGTTCTAGAGTGGGTTTGTAGAAGTACTCCAAAAGACTTGATTTAAGCCTAGTACCCATAACCGCGAAATTTGCCCTTTTTTGACATTGCTTCGACAATTTCACGTTTGATTTACGTGTAAAACGTCAAATTGTCGAAGCAATGTCAAAAAAGAGCGAATTCCGCTGTTATGGGTACTAGGCTTAAGAAAGGAGGAAAATACAGAGTGAATGAAGAATGTTTTTACTTACTAAAAAAATCTTGCTCCAGAGTGAGCTTTGAAATTGTTCGGAACAATTCAGAGCAGCAAATCAAATGAGGAAAATGCCTTTTGAAGCATTTTTGACACCAATTTAAGGCTACACGGCGAAGTAAACACTCAAATTGAACACAGGGCTCCAAAAAACTATGAATAAAAAACTCGCCTCGAAACTGTTCTAGAGTGAGTTTGTAGAATTATTCTGGAACAATGAAAAAAATGCAGAGTGACCATTTAAAAAGTATTAAGAATTATTTCAAAAGGAATCTTGATTTCTGTTCTATCTGCATGAACTCTGATCTGTTTGCATTGCTCTGATTGTTACTGTTCAAATTACTCTGTTATGCTACTAATCAATGAATTTATTTACTATAAAGTAGGCTAATTTGAAAATTAATTTTGGGTTTTTATAGAAATTCTACTCCACTGTTCCAAGTGTATTGACTCTTTTTAATCTGTTTCATTTGCAGTTACTTACTCTAAGTGTTCCAATTGCTTATCTGCACTAACTCTGTTCTGTTTGCACTGCTTTGATTGTTACTGTTTGAACTACTCTTTTGTGCTACTAATTAATAAATTTACTCACTTCAACAGTAAATACGCTGATTTGAAAATTAATTATAGGTTTTTAGTAATTCTACTCTGACTGTTCCAAGTGCACTGACTCTTTTTGATCTGTTCAACTGTCTGAACTATCTTGACTGTTTTAATTCTGTTTCATCTGCACTTACTCGTTTTAAATTACGCTAGGTATTTCATCTGCAAATTATATTTGTGAATTTCTTCTATTGTTCGAATAACTTTAAGTGGTCCAATTGCTCTAATTTCTGTTCTATCTGCACTAATTCTGTTCTCTTGGTACTGCTCTGATTGCTATTGTGCAAACTACTCTATTATGCTACTAATCAATGAATTTATTCACTACAACAGTACGCTGATTTAAAGCCAAAATCTATGAAAAAAATCACCCCAAATTGCTTAACGCGATTTTATTTCTGGAACTATAAGTCTAAATGAGCTGAAATTTTGTAGTACTCCACATTCAAAATTAAGGACTTTGATGGATTAGGTCCTGAACATAGAAGATTTTATAAGACTTTGCTAGAGAGGATTTAATCCTAAATGCTAAAATACCTACTCCCCAATAAGATTCTAAAACACAGAAAAGTGAAAATTGAATATCCAATTTGCAAAGTTCCATTATTGGTTCTTTCTAATAGAATTCTAAATTTCAACCTAAGCCTATGGAGATTCTGAGGCCGATTAGAAATCAAAGAATTTCAAATATTCTATAAAGGTTCTTATTAAAGTCATTTGAAGCCTTTGATAATTCTAAAGATTTTGAAGGCTTAAAATTGTCTCAAGATTCAAGACTAAGACTTTTGAAGATCTTAGACTCAAGATTTAGCCGAGTTAAAAATAAGAACCACTTTGAACATTAATATTCATTATGAGAATGTTTAGTGTCCAATCAAGCCGATATAAGCAAGATTACAATTTTTATCTGTGTATACAAAACTAGTTTTACTGGAAAAATAACCAATTATTACTTTTTTTTTTTCGATTTCAGATTAAGAGAAGAATTATCTCAAGCCAGAGTCCAAGTAAGCACATGGGAAGAACGAATCCAACAAGCCCGTACCGCTTGCGACGCCTGGCAAAGAGAAACGGAAGAGGCAAAATGCCAAACCAAGCAATTAGAAAGCAGACTCCAAGAGGCGATATCTCAAAAGAAAGCCTTAAAACAAGAATGCGACCAATTAAAAGATGGTCCTCACATTCGTCGAATAACCAAAGTTTCAGAACTCAGTAAACTATCACTAGGTGTCCTCAAAAATTTGCATTCGCAAATCAGACAAGACCTGGAAGAAATCGAGAAGGTTTTATATAGGGAAACTGCGTCCAAGTGTATGGTGTGTGAGGAACGTAATAGGACTGTTACATTAAATTGCAATCATTTTGTGTTGTGCGATCAATGCGCAGGCACCCAAACTGAGTGTCCGTATTGTCAGACGCCGAATAATTTGGTGAATACGATGTGAATATGCGGATATTAGGCTTGTAAGGGATTGGACTCTAAGTTAGACTATGATGGACTTTTTACAATTTGGAAATAAAAATCACTTTTCTGATGGAAACAAATATTTATTTGATGAGGTTTTTGCTATTACGAACACATTGGTTGAGAGCTGATTTCTGGTAAGAAGAGGAAGTTTTAGTTATTTTTATTATATTTTCCAGTACTGAGAATTAGTTGTGCCAAAATTGATTCTGATAAAAAAAAATAGTGAAAATCTGGACTAACTTAGGGTGTCACTTCTTTGCAATTTAACAAATTTAATTATTAATAGAATATAGTTCTTATAATATTATTATGTATTACTATTAATTTCCTATTTGCAGTTAGAAACTGAGAGAAAATTTTGTGGAAGTTTTGTAGTTTTAACGTTAAGGTAGCATCACCGAATATGTATTTCTTAAAAGAAGTAAAGATTTTTATTTGCTGTTATTTATTAGAGAGATTTTTTTTTGAGTTTTTTTAGTGACAAAATGTAATCCACCTTATACTACTTGTCAATCGATCTCTTGTTTTAACCATAAAGAGTGTGAAAATCTAAAAATCTGTTTTGACAAGTCGCATTGTATTAATGTGGATTATTAATGTTATTTTTTGACAAATTCTTGCTGCACCCTCAAACATATCAATAGAGTTTAGAGAATCTCATAGGGTTTCTATAACCCATAAATTAATCTACCAATCAATCAATAAATCAAAGAATAATTTCCAAGTGCAGCAATAAGGCTTCAGATTCTTCACTATCTACTACACAAAAACTGACTGATAATTTTTCTATTTTTCAACCCGCACGTCATTTGCTTGGATGGATTCGTTGTTGTTGTGTGTGATATAGTTTTTAATTTATATTGTGAAATTTTTAGAGGTTTTTTCATTATAGAAAGACTGTTTTGTGTGATTTTAGAAATATAAGGAGTAACCCCCGCGCGCCCATAGTCGCTCATTGTAAATTTCCATATAATAATAATAATTGCGAATAAAACAAGAAAATCTCAGAAAAAAGGAAAATTTCGCAATGTGAAAATTGAGTTGAATAACAAAGCAAATGACGTCTTTTTTTTTTTCAATTTGACATTGAAATTGTATTAATTAAGGTAGTTTTTCATTAAAATAATAATAATATGGAATTATGTAGTAGGCCTACAGAAAAGTGTAGATTAGTGATTTCTTCAAATTAAAATTAGATTTCTAATATTTAAAAGCATTTTTTTTTTCGTCCATTTGCATAAATTTGTTGTACGTTTTTTCATTTTATTAGTCACTAAGATGTGTATGGCATTTTTTCAATAATTCCAGAAGTATTAATATTCTCGGATTTTCTCACTTTATTGTAGAATTAAATGGTACAAATTTTTTTCTTTTTTAGTATTCAACTACCATTTCCCCCTCCTTCTAGTTTAAAACAAGAATATTTTAAATTATTAATGTGTAATTGATAAGTACAAATGATCAAGTGTATAATCGTGTGAAAATATTTTAATGAATTTTGGCAATACGTAGATGTGGATAACATAGTTCTTAAAAAAAAAGTATTTTTAAATAATAAAGTGTTCTACTGTAAAAATATGTGTCTTTTTTTTTTTGTTGTTAAAACGATGTAGCATTAAAAATCTGTGTTGTGTTTAACTCTTGCTTCTTTTATAATGATTTTTCTTTTTAAGAATAAATATTTTAATTTAAATACATTTTGTGTGTGTTTTTAATGTATGTTATGTCTTGGACTTGTTTGATAAATAGATAATGTTAATTTTGAATAGGAAATGTTTTAAAAAAATTACTGTTTATATTATTGAAATGTATTTTTTTTACTACTAACCTGAGAAATAGACATTATTCAATCTATTTTTCTAAGAAAAAATTGAATTTCTCTCCCTAGGTTAATAATGAAAATAATGAAAAAATACCTAGGTCAATAATGAAAATGACGTCATGACGCAAGGATATTGTCATGTTTCTATTGGTTCAATTTCAATTTCATACCTCAATTTGAAAAAAAAATACAGGTTTCTGTAGGTACATAGGAAGTTATATAAGCTGTTGATAGAGGGCAGCACTTTCAAGAGGGCGTTCACAAAAAATAATTAGAACACAGATTTTAAACAAATTTTTAATTTTCTACTAGCAGTAGTAAAAAAAAATCTATATATTCCTCGGTAGAGAAAGTCATTATATACCTCACGCATTATAAACCTCGGCGCTGCGCGCCTCGGTTTATAAAAGCTTTCGGTATATAATGACCAACTTCTCTACCTAGGTACATAATATACTATTTTTTACTACTAACCTGAGAAATAGTCATTATTCAATCTATTTTTCTAGGAAAAAAATTGAATTTCTCTCCCTAGGTTAATAATGAAAATGACGTAATGACGCAAGGTTATTGTCATGTTTTTATTGGTTCAATTTCATAGGTCAAATAAAATAAAAAATACAGGTTTCTGTAGGTACATAGGAAGTTGTCATAGGCTGTTGATAGAGGACACGACTTTCAAGAGGGTCGGTTTCTCAATAGCAAGTCACCTCCAGGTTAAGCTAACTTCAGGGTCAACATTGCAATTTGACACGTTAACCCTGGAGTTAAAACCAACCCGGGGGTGACTCGCTATTGAGAAACCGGCCCTAGCAGTGGTAAAAAAAAATCTATTTCTCGGTAGAGAAAGTCATTATATACATCACGCATTATAAACCTCAACTATTTTAGGGGAGCCCTACGATAAGTATTCCTTAAAATGACATTCTTACATGGAAAAATGTCAGTTTAAGGCATATCTATTGTTAGGGCTTTCCTAAAATAGTTGGTGGAAATGGCCATTAGAAAAATTAAGAAGAAAACGAAAATTCCAGATCCGAGGCGAGAATACACAATATACAGGCACTAAGCTAGTGGCAACATCGCTATTTTAAATGGAACACCCTGTATGTGATTGCATATTTCGATTCTACGTAAAATTCTGAGCAGATTTCATGTTATATACCCTATACCTAAGTTCAACTGTTTTGGAAAGAATGACAGTTCAAAATTGACTTTTTGCAACTTTGACAGGCTGTAAAACCTGAACGGTTAATTTTAGAGGAAAACCGATTTTACATTCCTATCTTAGATTTTTATAAACTATAATTTGACACCAACTTTGTATTTAATCCATGATTAAAAATTCCAATTAAATTTAATCTCCGGTTAAATTCAGAGTTGGTGTCAAATGATAGTTTATGAAAATCTAAGATAGGAATGTTAAATCGGTGTTCCTCTAAAATTAACCGTTTAGGTTTTACAACCTGTCAAAGTTGCAAAAACTCAATTATCAACTGTCAATATTTCCGAAATAGTTGAACTTAGGTATAGGGTATATCACATGAAATCTGTTCAGAATTTTACGTAGAATCCAAATATGCAATCACATACAGGGTGTTCCATTTAAAATAGCGATGTTGCCACTGATTAAGAGTAGAAGCGGCAACACCGCATAAACAAAAAATTTTTTAAAGTGTACATTATGGTCGTTTATCCCGGTTGCCAAATTTTCAATATGATCCGCTTTTTAGTTCTCCATAAACCTCTAATACGCCATCCACCGTGGGACACCCTGTATGAGATGGAAAAATTGAAAAATAAAGAATAAATAAATATATACTTGGATAATACTAATATTAATAATAATATCTGAGTAAACATCAAAAAATTTGCAAAAATATGGCGGCAGGGACGTGGCTAACTTCTATATTCATATTCAAAATTTGTAAGAATATGGCGGCGGTACCGAATTTCTATTTGAAAAGGTGAAGTCACTGTAGGTGGGCCGGGGCCATTGGAAAAGGTTGAAAAGGAAACAACCAATCAAATACCTTGACGATACATAAACCCCGGAAAGGGGCGGGGCTCAACTAACCAATTAAATGCCGTGCTGATATCACTCGCATCTGATTGGAAAGGGGCGGGGCCTATATCCAACCTATCAAATGCTTTGTTGATATCTTTGCGTTTGATAACGAGTCAGCCACAGTGTTGCCAGCTTGACGGAAATATCCCCTTTTTGAGGAAATTTTCTATTTTCGTTCGCAAAAGGGTAGAAGCGGAAAGCGGAATTTTGAAAGTCTGTTTTTTTTAGAGATAAAAGTCAAAATGACACTATGTTGGTAAAACAATGTTAAATTGTCGATGCTTTGCCATGTGTTGCCAACATTATAGTTACTAAATTTTTGACTTGACATATTCAATGAAAAATTGGTAATTTTAAGTTTCTAGCACACGATATACAATAGGTATACAGGGTGGGCCATTGAACTTAAGACATTATTGAACTTTTTTTTCAAAAACGCGCCATTTTCGAGATATTGAAATGTCTCAATTTAAATGGACCAATAATTGTTTTTTTCTACTAGGTACCGTGCGTAAAGTAGGTACTCCATTTACGCACTATTCAGAAGTCGTAAAATTTCTTTTCACGCACTAGTGCGTGAAGTAGTTCACTTCACACTAGGGTTGCCAGGCGTCCTGGATTTCGCAGGATGTCCTGGATTCATGGTCTTGCGTCCTGCTGGAGTTGTCCGCAGGACACCAAATGTCCTGAATTTCATGAAGTTCAACCCCAATCTTAAATATTTTTTCAAAATAATTCAATTCGCTTTTTCTCTATGAGTTGAATTCCAACTCAGAAAGGGTTTTTTCCCTTTGCAATGCGGCGTGGACTGATAGTCGGAATAGGCTCTCAGTAGACCAGGTAAAAGCAGAACTTCAACTAAAAACCAATTTAACTTATTGTCCGTCGATTTTTATCTGACACTTTCCGTATGAGGAGTGAGGGGGTGAAGTCAATGACCTATTAACACAGATAGACAGAACAATAAACAATAGATGAGAGTTATTGGAACTAATGAATACTGCCTCGCAGTATTAAGGATCTACGTTATTTTATTAGTGCATCAGCACTATTTTTCCAAGAAAAAAACAGTTATTGGAAGACTGTAGTAGTTGCTAGAGTATTACCTTATTTTGTATTCATAATTTTGACAGCTGATAGCTATGTTTATAAATTTCAACCTCAAAAAGTGTTTATTTTTGTTTGTGATTTTCTGCCGATACCCATTTTTCGATGCTATACCCACAGTAAAATGGAGAACTACTGTAAAAAATAAATTTTCCAAGGAAAATTACGTCACCGTCGAAAAGCGAAACGTCAAAGTCGTCCAAAATGTCAGAAATTTAAAATAAGGGAAGTTTACTGCCTCGAACTAACCATACACAAATAAAGACAAGCAGTAACCTTATTAAGGGAATCCTTATTTTTAGACCCAAATACGCATGCGTAGATGTCAAAATAAGGCTAATCTAAATACTGGTTGTCCTTATTGCACGTCCAATAACTCTCTAATAATATAGGTTGACTACATCCCAGGAACCGCATCTCTCCCCACTACTCATTAATCCTTGTGTTATTTTGTATCTTTCTCTAACACGTGGAAAGCGATTATTTTTCAATGAAAATTAGCAACGCTGCAAAAAAATAAACTCCACCTCGAATCCCACTTTCCACCAATCAGCGGCTTCTATTCAATTGTCATGTCAAAATGCGACCTACAGGTATTTTATGACAATTTCAATTTGTCAATCAGTGCGCAGTGAGTGTATCCGCATCTTTTTCTAAAATTATGTAAAAGATAAGGATAAGGATAAGGTAAAATGCTAGTTATTGACATCCAGCTAGTTATTGACACTTCCTACAAAATCTTGGTTTTTAAGGAAATGTGCCTTGTTTTGTGTTAAATTCCTTCATAAACTTCTTCCTTTATCAGTTTGGCAACACCGCATCGGCCGCCATAATTATCGGACCCGGCGTTAACAACACACGTGTTAAAGTTTTCAAAGTGTGCACAGTGATATATGTGGCTTAATCAGATTCTTAAGGTGAGTAAGTTGTTCAACCTTAATTTAAAAAGTTTAATTCTTAAATATCTGGTATTGGGTAGTGAAATCAGATCTATAAAATAGACTAAAAATTCAAAATAAGGAGTAAAAACATAGCCTAACAAAAGGAAACTGTGAAAAAATGAGTGTCAATGACTGAAATGCATATATGTATACCAAGACCAGTGATTGACACCCTGTCAAAGACTGACTTATGAGATATTTTTAAGATTTAGTTTGCATTAAGATCCTGAGGTGAAGACGATGTTGCCAATTCAAGTTTTTTGTTTTTATTTCAAGTAAATCCAGTTATTGACTGGGGTGTCAATTATTAGATGTCAATTACTAGTCTTCAATTTAATTTTTTTTTCAGATTAACTATGCCTCCGAAAAAAAACTATACGCAAGACCAAATGAACCAAGGGCTAGAGCTTGCTCGTCAGGGAGTTCCCATTGCAGAAACTGCCAGGAGAACAGGGGTACCACGCGTCACCTTACTTTACAAAATGTCGGGGAAAGTACCAGAAGTTTGTTCAATGGGTCCTGCTGGGAGTCTAAGCCCTGATGAAGAACAAGTGCTAGTTCAGTGGATATTGGAACTGTCAAAGATACATTATCCGGTTTCAAAAGTACAATTATTTGATAGTGTGGAATATTTATTAAAAAAAAAACCCAGAAAAAATTACTTTATTAATAATAGACCAGGTGATACATGGTTCAAAAACTTCATTAAAAGGCATCCTGAATTAACTACTCGAGTGTCACAAAATTTAACAGTATCAA